CTTTATTTGCTCGATAGCGATCTCCCCGATGACAGTTTCGCCAGTGACCAGACCAACGCGGACGACACCGCTGACCAGCCCCCAGCGCCGAACGACGGCCCTGAATTAGCAAACGAAAATACCTCTGAGGAGGACAAGGAATCAGAAGAAGAAGTTGATATGGACAACGTCTATTCTGCGGAAGAAACTGTCTCACAGCGTCTAAAAAATGGTAAACCCGAATACCAAATCAAGTGGTTGGGTTTCCCGGCTAGTCAAAACACGTGGGAAGACGCAGAGAATATTTTAGACAAGCGACTTCTCGAGCGCTTCTACAAGAAACATCCACGAGCAAAACGCCTAGATGTTGATCCTGATTACTCTCCCAACACGGTGGCATTACTTTCCTGGCCAGGAAGTCCCGATTCTAGCCCAGTCATTGCTGTTATTACCGGTCGAGAGAGAAATATCTCCCGTCATAGGTTTTCGCGCCCAAACTGGGAAACTGAATCTTCGCGGACGGCACAATGACAACTGGGGGAAATAACTCTGTAGAGACGACTCGCCAGCGAGAACGGAAACTCGTCACAATTTTCTGGTACACGGAGATCTACTTCGAGCGAGCTTATACGGACGTCAAGGATAAGACAATCTTTGGTTCCACAGCACTTTTATTTTAGGTCAGGCCAACAAGCGACATGACTTCTAGCATACTCTAGTTTGTAATCATCAAAGCTGTACAAGGTACTTGCTTAAGAAGTTACTGGTGTGAAGTACTGTTGTTACACAAATCGCAATATTTGGATAAGGACACAAAGGAGCGGAAAAAAGTCTCTTTGAAGTTAAACGAAAACTACTTAAATATTCCATCTGTTTCCACGACGGAAAGAATCTCAAAATTAAAAAGACGGATGCAATAAACTCTAGGCCATTAACGTAGGAAACTTAGGTGCGAATTGACAGCTCTGATATAGAAAGCAATACCTATCTTAATTGCAGTAGCGCAGCTCAGGAAATAAAAACGGAAAAGCAATTAAAAGTTTCTGCTTCTCTATGCAAGATTGGTTTGGAAACCATCGCATGAAAAGAAATTAAAGTTACGAGTATAAACTCAGCTGCTATCTACCATGAAAACCAATGTTTCCAGAAAGACCATTAACACTTATATTTACCTAAAAAAACCATGTAATAAATAACAAAAGTGCCGACAACCAGGTGCATATGATGAAAGCGAGTAACAACAAAAATCTATTCAAAAGCTACTGTGGTTTTTATGTATTTTTTGATTTATTAAAATGAAAGGACTTGAAATGGTTAAATGTGAAAGTTTACGAATAAATATGTTTCGAATAACACACACGGTAAAATCAGTAAATTTTCCCGTAACATGAGGCACCGTCGTTACCTTGACCTCAGCAGTGGGAAATATCCAGGCCCCACTGCTCAAGTTTTCCAAGGATCAATTGCAAGATCACCTATCCAGTTATTCGTTCCGTAGACTGGAAGCTTAAAAACTCTTCGCGAATCTTCTTGTAAAGAGAATTTACAAGACTTTCTAAAGTCATATTTTAGCAATTTTTTTCATCAAAATACTTTAAACTTGACATGTGTTGCACAAAGTGAAGCCAAAAAATCGAAGTAGTGCGTGCAAGATCCAGAGATGTCAAATTGGTACAATTCATTAAAGTATTTTCTACTAATAACTCATCAGAAATAAACGTTAGTGTAGGTACCGTAAATCTTTATCACGTCTAAACGGACAATTAAACAAGGAAATGGTAGATTCAGCATTCGAATAAACAGTTCGCCAAAGACTACGATCGTGCATAACGTTGTAGAGATATTTGCTCACTAGTGCAAGGCGCGTCATGCGTTCTTCTAGGGAAAGCCACTTAGAGATTTCCAAAAGGACCTCACGAGGAAGGATCATCATGGCACATGCTGTTCCTATAAAAATATTGCAAAAGTTTAAGTGCCAAATCAAATGGAAGCCTCTTTTATTTGCGTCCAGGTTACTTGTTTTGTTTGTTTGTTTTTTCCGCAAGGAAGAAAACGCGCGCTGTCGGAGAGCGTTGTTGATTTACATATAAGCACGCAAGTATGTTTAAGAACGCAAGAGAACTGAATCATGCATGGCCGAGTTCCCGCAGTGGCACGTCTCAAGTACCTTAAAAATTCCCAAGTGCTTATAAAGTCAACAATGCAAGAGTAGCAAGTTTATTTCTTTTATAAAATGCCGACAAAATTGCGTGCGTTCAAACGTGTGAACTAGAATTCCTAGAACATTTTATAAACTGAAAGTGTATTCAAAAATGAAACACGTGCGTAATGCCATTGTGTCGATCCTCTAGCCATGGATAAATGTTTTCATTAATCAAAGTCACAACATTTTCGGCATTTCTATAGACAAATTTAAAGAAAAGGCAGTATCGTAAATTAATGTTCTGAGGGCACTTTTACTCAGAGAAATTCGGGATCTATTTTCCCCCAATTTTGAATTGCTATTGGACACTCACTGAACTTATGATGAGTAAGGCTGGCAATAGCTCATTTACCTGTATTTTGGGAAAGAAGTGTTGTCTCGTCCTCAGTGACGGTCAGAACTAAATACTGGCTGCGGCCTGCATCACTTTGTGTTTCCACTAGTTCTTCTGTCTCTACAAAACGAAAAAAATTTTCACCATCAACTTATATTCGAAACCAAAAAAAAATATTATTTTTAATAAACCAATGAATGAATGCTTACCGGCGGGAATCGCTGGCAGAGCGAATCCTCTTTGCTCTCGACGAATTCTCATTGGCTGACGATTGCTCATCATTTTCGTAGTCGTCCGATCTAAAGAACAAAAATTACACGCGGTTCAAAATCATGACAGGATCTGTCACCTCGCTTGTAAAATGACTAAACGGTGTACCCTAAGTCAGAGTCAAGATAACTGATTCAATGATCGATAGAATAATTCACGACTAGCATGCTTACTTTCCTGAAGACGTATGACTAGGCAGTGGACTGAAAAAACGATTAATTTCCTGTTGCTTCCCCCTTTTGGACTTAACTCGACCGACTTCAAATTGAACACTGACTCCTTTGGGAAAAGTAATTCTCAACTGAGCGCTGTTGGCAGCCGTACAACTCACGGTCGACTGTCGGTCGTTACACATGGCGTTTGCCGACAGTAAATACACATTTCGAGCTCGTCCCCTCCTGCATCAGTTATTGTAGAGACAAAGCACAATAACTGTTAGAGCGAAAGCGCAACTGAACGGTCATGAAGTCTGATATGATCGTACAACTGGTCTCCCGCCTACATTTTATTTTTGGACAATTTTTATGTACATTTTTCATATTTTATTGACGCATTTGCCTAATGTGTAGAATAAAATATCGCAATAAGTATAACCTGTAGTTCCAAAGAAATAACTCCTTTCAAAACATTCTTAGGCAGGACAAAACGTTTCGTGGGTGTCACGCAAGGCTGCATTTCGGAAAATGAAGGCAACAAAAGGAAGCAGTCTAAGACTTGAACTGTCGCATCATAAGAAAAAAATCTGTGGTTTACAAGTGTATCCTCGCTAGTATTACTAAGTTCGAAAAATATCTGCTATTAGTTGCTACTAGGAAATTATAGCGTTACGCGAGTGTTTCAATCTTGGTGATACATTACCACAGTGATTGTTGCGATCGAACTGTAGTCCTAAGTTACCTTACTAATGTATTGTTCTAAAGGTCAAAGATCATTCAGTATTGTTGTAATCATGTTATGCTTAGGTCAAAAAAGTAAGAAAAATAAATCGCACCATTTGTGGAGGAAGCCCGTACAGATGATTCGTTTGGCGACATCGACGCCTGGACATGTTGAAGTGAATCGGTGCTCGGCGGCGGTTCACTCGCGCGCTCCAGAACTTTGCATGCAGCGGTCGCTCTGCTTTTGTTCTTCTTCCGCTGGGTTGACAGCACCTCCCCTTCGCATTGTTGAAAAAATGCCTTAAACATTTCTTCATCTTTTCTTTTTATTCTTACGGTCATCTACATCCAGTATTTAGAAACAGACATGAAATTACGCCATGGCAATTTTAGGCGATGGCGAAGCGAATCATTTCGAATTTCAAATTTACCGCCACAAATGAAGAAGGTTTCGATCGGAGGAAGGTAATGCAAACCTCAACAAATTCTTCCATTGTCATGAAAACGTAGAAATTTACCGAGAAATGCGCCTCTGGTCAGTGCCTTGCATTGGCTGCAGCTCAAGCTGTTTTGGAGTTCTGTATGCCACGACGGTTGATTGGCAAATGATCCAGAGGTACCTAAGGCACCTCTCGTTTTATAGCGCGCCTTCTTGTTTAACTAGATAGTACACTAGAATACTGTAACTCTTCCAGTTTCAAGAGAGATTTATTGCAACAATTCTCTCACTTATACTGTACATCTTACGCAACATTATCTACGTAGAATTACTTGTACAAATATAGAATGTTCTGTATATAAATAACTCGTACAAATAGTGTTATACAGTAATTTACGGAAAAGGGCTTGTGTATTTCGACGCTACAACTAATTATAGATATACAATTATTAACTAATCACAGATTATTGCACGTTGATAAGCTGAGTGACAAACGAAGAGCGGGACCATAATTTAGTAATTTACAAAAATGACCACTGCTCAATAAAATGTCAGTATTATCATTCAGAGGCGGTTTAGATCTGCGTTAACGCCCGCTTCCACAGTTAACTTTGAAAATTATTTGGTCACACTACCAGAGTTGTACCTACAAGTTGTGAAACTATAGCTGAAATAGGGTGTTAATGCAGATGTGAAAACATTAGTTTATCAATAACAAAAAGACATCTAACCATGCTACTAAACCCGAAAGTACGGTGTTTCCAGACAGAAAACTCATATTAGGTCAAAAAGTCAAACTGGTCCATGTATAAAGCAGATCAGTGACTTGATCACTCGCAATTTCCGACACTTCGAGCAAATTGCTTGTTTTTAACCTGTGTTCTCAATGGCCTCTTTCTATTTCGGAGAACAATAGCAGTATTTTCTTAGACGAGGGTATGAAGACGCGATGCAATATGGTTGATCCTTGTAAGCGTCTATTCGACTGATATCTCCTACTAGTGAAGGAACACCTTTATTCATTCTAACAGAAGCTTCGTAAAATCCCTCGTTTGGAGATGTCACGAACTGTAACTGATACAAAGTGTCCATAGCGAGAGTATTAACCGATTTTTCACCCAATACCACACCACAGGAATCACATTCATCGTGAGCGCCTTTTTTGGAGTCTACAAATCTCTGCATGGCTTCTTTCGGCATCTCGCGGAAAGCATTCTTTATTTCCTTTAGTTTCATCCGCTGACATAGCTTTAACAGTTCGCCGCTTTGTGACGTCAAACTGTTAATGTGCCTAACGACAAACTCAGCTGATTCCTTGACTGCGGGCTCATCCACCGACACGGCTTCCAAATCAAGACAAGGGCACCAGTGATCTTCCACACCTGCGCTTGCGCATGTTCGATTTCTCTCGTCAATCCGGCTGAACAAGCTTTGACCAGTTATAATTTCGCTTGGATACTGTGGATATGACAGTACGTGACGTAATGTGGCATAAACGTCAAAGGGTGATGTTAGAACGCGAGAGTTTTGGACCAGATTTTTGTGGAGGTCTGGATACTTGTCAAGAAACCAGTTAGGCAGACTGATTGACATAAATGGAAACCTCTCTTCTAGTTTACCCTGAATTGTCTTTCGCAGACTAGCGAACCGATGCCCATGGTCCCCGAAAATAATCAGCATGGTATTCTTTTCGAATGATTCTCGCTGGAATGTTTGCAAGAAAGTCGTCAGGTCGTCGTCTACATAACCGATCATGTTTACGTCATCATGTGAAATCGAAGCATGAGATGAGAACGCAAAATTAGGCCGGTTCTTGTAACTTCGAAAGAAACTTAACAAATAATTGAGAGATACGTTATGAGCAGGTCTGTTATTGATACATTTTCCATTTAAAAGTTTATCTGTCTCTATCCAGAATGGTCTGGCGAAATGGTCTGTTGGAGGGTCTCTGAAACCATGTAGACGGTAATTAAAGGCTGCATACCCTGGAGCGTCTTCCGAGAACATAGTAGCATATCCTTTGTCATTGTAATTTCTGAAAATCCAGCGCCATCTGTCAATAGGTTGTGAGCCGCTCATTCTCCGTCGAGCCTCAGGTTGCTTATTCTCGTCGATTCCAGTGAGCATTCCACACAGCTGCGCAGTGGTGCCGTCCCCTATGATTGTTTCTCCTATCAAAAACGTAAAATTGAGGCTGAATCGTTTTTAGCGTTTTCAACCCTCTCTAGAAATGATTAGAACTTTTGAAGCTAATGATATAGAAATCAGTATGACCATTTGAGCCTTCTTTTTGTGACTTTGAGATTTTGAATCGCCGTGCAGTATTACAACCTTGCGGGAGATCTTGTTTACGGATTGGCGCTGTTTTGTATTTTACAGGATAAAATGTGATTGCAATTTCTGCTGATCAAAATAATTTTTGTGATTTTATTTTCAAGCATGAAAATTTAAAAAGAGAGGATACTATTCTAGACTCTTCTATATTGTTCAGTAACATCACACTCGATAATCAGCTGAATTATTTTTACAGTTGCATTATGAGCTGGAGATTCCTCTCGCGTGATGGTTGATGAGGAAGAACCCCGAATCAAAAGTCACTGATTACCTTTGCAATCTTATTGGCTCTCAGTGGTGCGATTTATTCATGAATTGTATCATTTCTTGCTGTAAATCGCATCTTTTCTACCAGCTTATGAGAAAACTTTATTAAAACACATCAACCAGTCACATTTCAAGGCTTGTTTAAAGTAACCAATCAAATTAGAGAAATATGAAATACAACTATTGAAACTTTTTACAAACCAGCCCAACACTGGATCAATTAAATATTTGTAAAGACCGAAAAGACCTGTATTTGAGCAGCTGAATTTTGTGATTTCAAAGTGGATGTAATAAAGTGGTAATTGAACTTCGTGTCGAGGAATTTGGTTTTAAATCATACTAAACTAATGACAAAATTCTCGAACATGATTGGTTATCACCAGCCCGATTTGAGCACTAATAGGACAGTGTACGCGTCATGCTTGTAATAGGACAGTTGGGGTCTATAAGAAACCGCAAAACCGTAGAAAAAAATCATCCAAAACCGCAAAACAGCAAAAATACAGTCGATCAACTCTCTCACCCCTCGACATCTATTTCGCAAAACATCACCCGCCGTATGAACTCATTCTCTCATTCTGATTTGCTGATTTCAAATCTGAACGAAACGAGGACCATAATTTTTTAATTTTTTTTTCAGAGGGCACGGAAACGAACCCTGCAATCTGATTGGTTCTTTACCCGGTCAGTATTTTTCTATCTCTGCCCACGGGCCACGGTAACGCTTTCGTGAGTCGCCGTGTACATCTCAACTTTCGTTGCCATTTTTCATAAATATACCTCGTTTTGCCCGCTGGGCAGCATTTTTAAGCAAACACATCGGTCACTACCTCAAGCCGACTTATGAATCCTCTCTTTTCTCTCTCTCAATTCACTTTAGTTGACAAAAAAATATTGGTTTCAGAATGAATTTGTATAGGCAATAGTGTCATTACGTTGGTTGACAAGCGGCCTAAAAACCGTCTGCAATTGATTTTAATCATTCAAAAAAAGTACCTAGAAAGTTAAAACGTGAGGTATTTGGTAAACTGAACAATGGAACTTTCATTCATTTAATGTCTGAATTTTCTCAAACAATTTGTTCGTAGTGAAAGAGCGAGCGAAGTTTTAATTTCAGTTCGTCAATAAATATGCGCTCTCGGTGAGTCTTTCAAAGTCCGTTCAATTTGGACATTTGGACCATAAATTGCACAACAGAAACTGAAGGAATTTATTGAGAAAAGGCCACATTAAATCCCCTTGTGTCTCGTTGGAGTGTGCCGTTCGAATTTAGTTTTTGTGGAGGAAAGACCAGATTTACACACGCCGTTGCAGCAAACAAACGAGCAAACTCTCACAACTTCAAAATAAAAAATTTGAATTTACTCACAATTACTTTCCTGGCCGTTTACTTAATGAACAGAGGTAAATCTTCATACATGAATGAATCGTCGATGAGAGTGAATAATACTTTCCGTTATATCATTGATTGTTTTTGAAGAAAACATTGTCGTGACAGTCCTTGCCAAACTAGTTCCGTTGTTTTTCAAATCTTCTTGCGCTTTTTTTTTCTTACGCGCTCTCTAATTGACAGGTGTCAGATTGTGACAGATACTTGTAAAAATAATGTTTCAAAGTTTGTTTGGAAGCCTTTTAAATCACCTTTATCATTACGCAAGTGAAAATGTTTCAGTGAAGCATCTCTCTTTAATTTGTATCACCTTTACTTTACCTACCATTTACTCGCTCAAAAATTGTTCAGTTTATGGAAGATCTTGCCGTATTTATAGCCCTAAATCATTCGGGTTCTTTCAGAATGTATTTTGTTAAGTTTAAAAAAAAATATGTTATTTACCGGCTAAGGGTCGGTCCGTTTGGTGAAAAACTGTGACCTCGGCCTTGAAAATGCTACCCGAGGCCGTAGGCCGAGGGCAGCATTTTCAAGACCTCAGTCACAGTTTTTCACCATACGGACCGACCCTTAGCCGGCAAATAACATATACATATTTTCTAACGGACAGTTGTATTAATTTTCAAAAATTACTTTAAAAAGGTGGGACAATGAAAGTATACTATTACTTTGCACCTTTCGTTGACTTAAATATTTTTTTCTATAATGACTTCTTTGCCAGGATTCCCTTGACATACACATGTATTCATTCCGTCATTACTAGGGACAGGCGTGAATAATATGGCCAAATATCCGTCATTTAAAAGAAATACTTCATCCTGAAAAATTGAATAGTTGCTGAACCAGTGATAATCATGAAAAGTAAACTACTGGCGGTGGTTAAAGTGCAGTTGATTTCCTAATGTACAGGAGGATTCTTAGACCTATCTTAACGATGAAAGTTGCGACCACAGAATCAACGAAATGAAGTGCTTACCTAGCTACCACCCCTGCGTACAAGCACGCGTGATTGACGTGTCAGACTGATACGTCATTCCAAAGCAGTGGAATTTCAACTCAAAGACGATTTAACAGCCGCTAATCACAAAAGTAAAACCTTTTTACATAACTCAACAAAACATTACTCACCTTGCAGGAAGACGGTGTTTAAGTTCTTCGTCAGATATTCCAAGCTTTTGGGCATCTTTCTTTTAAAATTAGCGTGTGATGTGGAGTCGAACATGATCAGTGCTACATTTAGTGGAATACCACCAGGTTTCTGCTCCCGTTTGAGAACTTCCTTTTTAGGAAACACGTGCATGTGAACGTCACTTTTGGTCTCACCTGAAGATGTCTCGACGTCTACTCGGATGAAGTCGTAATCAACTGATACGTTTCCACTAAAGATTCCTGCAAGTGCAAATTAAAAGAATGAAAAATAATTTTAACATTTTTTTTCGTGATAGTGCCAAGAACTGTTGCCAACTCCAGTCATGGAAACTCAATAGACCCCGCTAACTCGAACTCGGTGAATTCGAACTTCCCGCTAACTCGAAACAAATGTGATTTCCCTGGATTTGACTGGAATTCCCCATTAACTCTGAACTAGTTTTACTTTTCCTTTGACTTCTCTGATAACTCGAACTCTCAAACGTCGGTTGATCGAAGACTTCAAAGAGTCAGAACACAGCCGATTGACTCGTCCCGATATTTAATCGCGATTGATACAAACGTCATACCATTTACGAAAACCCTCTACCTTAAATCTAACTTCTCAAACTAAACTTTCTTATCAAAAGGCTGTTATAAATCAAACTTAAGGTACGAAAACGACTATTGATTGTGCAACAGCAGAGTGTCATTTGCCTCATGTATTTCTGCAACATTCTCGAAGCCTCTTTCCCAGTTGTCATAAATTCCAAGGAAATGAAGAGAAAGGAGTACAATATTTGATCTTAAGAAGTTTTAATTGTTGGCCAAGAAATTTTTGGATGGATTAACAGGCATTGTAAACAAGCAACTGGCTGTTCTACTGTTCCATTTGTGTGTAATTTTAGTTGGTGACATAGCTACCTTCTGTAAGTGAGTTGGTGATGGACCACAACAAGCCAAGAAAAATGGAATTTGCTCACGTCAAGAACACCTCAAAATGTGAATAACTTAACTTAATAACAAGCATCTACTATGAGATTGTCATAAGGAATTGAGAAAGTTGCCACTTTTTGAAACTAAAACAAATTGGCAAAGCTGTGGTCAGTAAACACCGTAGCAACCCTAAGGCAACGCATGTTACTGAGGAAGACATGCAACTTTAAAATCAACTATTTGTTTGGCCAAAAAGCTAGGGTAAAGTTAACCCTTTAATTCCCAAGATCTGATTGTTAACTCTTCCTTCTAGCTGCCACACATATCCTTGCAAATAAATTATGAGAATTTGGTGTAAGATCAAGATAACAACTTCTACCTGATAAGTTTGAATATTCTCATTACCTGTTTGCTGGATAATGTAAGGATATGATAGGGAGAAGTTTTCATTTTGATTTCTTCTGGGAATTAAAGGTTTAACCAGAGACCTTTGGACTGCAGTAGAGCCTTACAATGGAGCAAAGGGAACTGTTCAACACATAATTTATGCAGAAGATCACAGAAACTTTCATTGCTATCAATTGTTGCCATTGTCCAGTTTGATTATGATGATTACATGGGCCCAATTTTTTTTTTCCTGGAACAAGTTGTACAAACAACAGCCCAACTTATATAAAGCTTGAAAGACAACAACCACCAATAAGAGATATACTTGGGACTATTTTTTGTTAACAGACTCTATTTTAAAACGTTGCCACGGGGTTTTTATTCGAACGCAACACTAAATGAAGGCCTTAATTATGGCGCGATGGTAGGGATAAAATTACTATGTAAACTTAATTTCAGTTCCAGGATACAATGTATGTAAAGAAACCGTCGTGAGTACATTCGCCCCTTGACAATACACACAACAGTCTGGCAGTTTCAAATGACACATTACATATAGGAAAGAGATTTTGAAAGTAACTTTTCTCCGGGTAACCTAATTCGGGAGGAACCCGTTCTTCACAGCCACTTCAAGTACTCACAAGGAAAAGAAAATTATGCTGAACAAGATTATTTACATAAGACACAAGAATGTCGCCAGCTCGGCGTTTTGGATTTTCAAAACATTCGGTGGTTTTTAAATTTTTTTGCATGTCATAGCTATCATAATAACATAAATGAAAAAAATTACTCAGTTCTGATTGGTTAAGACAAACGCAGTTTTCAGGTAATTCAATGCAGAAGAGGGTTAATTCAGTGCAAAGAATTAACAAACCAGACTGAACAATTCCTTGAACTGTTTCGCCAGACTTTGAACTTTTATGCGCCTTAAAGACGTGAAAATATCACTATAATATATTGTTTTTTTTAGAGGGCACGGTAACGAACCCTGCAATCTGATTGGTTCTTTACCCGGTCAGTATTTTCCTATCTCTGCCCACGGGCCACGGTAACGCTTTCGTGAGTCGCCGAATGCATTCCAACTTTCGTTGTCATTTTTCATAAATATACCTCGTTTTCCAGCTGGGCAGTATTTTTGAGCAAACACGTCGGTCACTACCTCAAGCCGATAAATAACTTATGAATCCTCTCTTTTCTCTCTATAAAATCACCTTGGTTGACAGAAAAATATTGGTTTCAGAATGAATTTGTATAAACAATAGTGTCATTACGTTGGTTGACAAGCGGCCTAAAAACCGTCTGCAATTAATTTTAATCGTTCACAAAAAGTACCCAGAACGTGAGGTATTTGGTTACAGTTAAACTGAACGATGGAACTTTCATTCATTTAATATCTGAATTTTCTCGAGCAATTTGTTCATAGTGAAAGAGCGAGCGAAGTTTTAATTTAAGTTCTACGACAAATATACGCTCCCGGTGAGTCTTTCCAATTCCGTTCAATTTGGACATTTGTACCGTAAATTGCACAACAGAAATGGAAGGAATTTTTTAAGAAAAGGCCGCATTAAATTCCCTTGTGTCTCGTTGGAGTGTGCCGTTCGAATTTAGTTTTTGTGAAGGAAAGACCAGAGTTAAACACGCCATTACAGCAAACAAACGAGCAAACTCTCACAACTTCAAAATAAAAAAAATTGAATTTACTCACAACTACTTTCCTCGCCGTTTACTTAATGAACAGAGGTAAATCTTCGTACATGAATGAATGGTCGATGAGAGTAAATTATACTTTCCGTTAGATCATTGACTGATTTTGAAGAAAATATTGTCGTGACAGTCCTTGCCAAACTAGTTCTGTTGGTTTTCAAATGTACCTACGCTTTTTTTTTCTTGCGCGCTCTCTAATTGACAGGTGTCAGATTGTGACAGATACTTGTAAAAATAATGTTTCAAAGTTTGTTTGGAAGCCTTTTAAATCACCTTTATCGTTACGGAAATGAAAATGTTTCGCTGAGGCATCTCTCTTAAATTTGCATCACCTCTATTTCAACTACCATTTACTCACTCAAAAATTGTTCAGTTTATGGAAGATCTTGCCGTATTTACAGCCATAAATCATTCGCGTTCTTTCGGAAAGAATTTCGTCAAGTATGGTCAAATATGATTGGATTTCCGCTGGAAATCTCTCAAACAAGCGGTCATGCGTGTCAACCCTTGTCAACGATATAATGTTTATTGCAGTTTCCGACAATTCGTTCGCTGACACAAGAGCAGACTGAGGCGCTAGAGGCTCTTATCACTGGCAGAGACGTCTCAATTTGGATTTGCGAAATTTATGAAACATTTCTCGGGATCAATTGCGTCTTGTCGAGATCGACCGTTGCAAATTAAAAATCAAAGGGCTTTTGAAGTCAGTTCATTCATGTTATGGCTTGGGATGGGCAGAGGTCATTAAGCAGACATTGTCCTTTTTGTTGGTGTGCGTGTGTGTTTGTGAGGCGGAGGGTGGGCTGGGTGGGCATAATCCGGCATCAAATGTTGCTCTAGCAACAAAGTATCAGTAACCCCCATCTTTCACGATCATTTGCACTATTGTGAAATATTCCTTGCCCGTTTCTTGATATCTTTGTTTTTAACAAAGCGACCACAATCGTTCTTAATAGAATTTCAAGCCTTCGTATGGTCTGATTTTCACATATTGATATTTGCGTAGTCACCAAACAACTGAGAGATAAAACCACAAGAAAAGTAAATAAATGGCCAGTAACGAAAGCAACGCTTCGCTTTTCCCTATTAAAATTCGCCGGTTCCTCAAGTAAACCAATAACAATTTAAGGCACATATGTGAAAATCAGTGTGTGTACATCCCTGAACATTGAAAATATATCAAGTCTCCACTATTTTTCTCAACAAAATGAACACATATCGGTTAAGAAGATGAAACGTATGAACCACGTGCAAAGCTGTCAATTTTTTCTCGAATATTGCGTCTGTTAAAATATTAATAGTGACATTTCATTTACATCTACATCTACTTTTATTAAGTTGGTAAATTCTGTACAGAAATCTCACCAACCAACTCGCGCGCATAGTGAGAAGACTATATGAAGGCTTGGAATTATTTTACGAACGATTGTGATCAAACGGGCAAGGAATATTCTACAATAGTGCAAATAATCGTGAAAGATGATCGCGGAAAAGCGATATGCGTGACGCTTGGTAAGTTGTAAGATGACATGTTATCACGTATCAGACGAAAAAACATATAAATTGTCAGTCTGCATTTTGTACCAAGTCTGCAGTCTGCATTTTGTAATATTGACTCTCACTAAGTAGGGAGGGGTAGCATGCGAGACTACTTCAGTTCACGGTCCACAATACAACTTCCGTCCACGGTCGATAACTAACCGTCGACATCTGCTTCACCACAATACCTCATTCATTACTTTAAGCATGAATGAGCTAAGAAGGTAAGAGTTCAGCTAGCGTATCAAATAACTAACATCCTACAGGGTTGTCTGCCCGTGACAATAGCTTTATTCTGAATATCCTAATTACTGATTGTTATGCAGCATCCCGAGGTACAAATCTTCCATATTCACCGTTTGATTGCCGCGTAAAAATTAAACATGTGGGCGGCCATCAAATTTTCTTGATTGACGTGTTCTCTCAAACCATGAATTGTAAATTGATTTCACGCCTAAATTTTCTCAAAATAAACAAAAATTTGCCTCGTGCGTCTGAGCCCTTAAACTGTAGTACGTACTATTCATGAGCTTCACTCAGAGCTTCCGCAATACATCGACATCGATTTTTTTCGCTGATTTTTCCGACCTCGTGCGATGGACTTCGCCGTAGAGAAGGGACTGATCGAAATCTAGTTACAGAACATAACTCACTACAAACATATTTATCTCAAGTTACACTTATGTTTTATCTCACCTTTCTGGTCAGTCGCTGACGCTCGATCTCCACTCGTGTTCAAAACTTTAACCGGATCCGAAAGAACCACACGAAAATCGTCCCCTTCAGCCCTTTCAATTTTTCTGAACTGTGCTGAGACGACAGCTTCGCCTTCAATTCGGAGCACGTTGTTTTCGAAACTAGAATAACTGACACCCTCGCAACTGAGTTTGCCAAGATCTTTCATAAAGTTAACCACGCTGGGATGAAATGGATCTAGAACGGGCAGCTTACAAGCGGCAGAATCATTGGCTGCTGTTTGAATTAACATCTTGAGAACATCATTTACTGGTGTTTGATGGTGAAGTTTCGTGTTTGGTGTTCTTAAATCGAGACCTTTGTAATACACAAGCGCAAACGATGTAAGACTGACAATGCCAAGCGATAACGCGAAGCATCGATAGTTCAAACGTCTAACCAGTGAGGAGAAGGTAGAGGTGTTTTGAAAGAGTCTCCTGGGCATACTTTTTGCGAAATATATCGCTACGAGGAGAAAACTGCAACACGAGCAATGGTGGTGGAAAACAAATTTTGGTTTAAAAAAAAAACGCCCCGCACGTGACTTGCGTCCAGTCCTCTTAACCAAAGGTTGTCACACGCGGGTTAAATTAATGAATAGTAGACCTTTTGCAGTCGAGCGTTTTCGAACCTTTCCGTGGACCAAATTGCAACGCGTCCCGATTATGTTGTAGATTGTTCGTCGATACATGTGACAAAGAGGGAGCCAAGACTTACTACAAGTCCTGCGCTCTATTCGGTACAGACTGAAAACTCGCAAGTGAAACAATCGACTAGTGTTTCTATTCAAGTTATAATAATTGTTGGGTCTAAATTCGCGGGCTCCGGGCATTAAGGCACAACCATTACTTTCGAAATAAGTCTTTAACTTAAGTCAGTTGATATATTTTTACAACGAGAACATGAAAATTACATAGGGGGTAAGTTTCTAAGGAAACGGTGCTGCTGCGTCGGTAGGAGGGTATAAAAAGGGAATTCGCTCCGACGAAGGGCTAACGCTCGAAACTTCAGCTTTTGGAATCCTTTAAGTGGCTAATTTAGGTTATCAACTCAGTTGATGATACCAAATTACCATGGAAATTACAGTTTAATAGAAAGAGAAATATTGTTGAAAAAAAAAGGGGGGGAAGTACAATGGTCCATTAACGGGGCACAAAGCGGATTTGGTTCGTATATTGTTACAAGTAATTTCTAACATTCCCAGTGTAGTTGACACTCTCCATTATTCTTTTTCTTAAAACTTGATACAACTCACTAGCTCAGGTTCTAGCACTACTCTCACAAGGATAATTTTGGCCACCAGCCTATAAAGGTGACAGTTATCAAGATGTCAATCTTTGACTAGCGTCATTATTAAACTAGCGAATTATGTTAAGTTACCTGAAACAGTTCCCGCATATTAGGTATGTACCTTCACTTTGTTGACTCTTTCCAAAACGACTTGCTTCCTAAAAATTTCACACTTTTGCGGTTAAGATCGGGCAAAACAAAAACAAGACTGGTATAAGAATTATAAAGTACTCCTTAGAATTACATTAGAAATTGCACATCAGCTCTCAAGTCAAATTCCACGATAGGAGATTATGTAACTTGGCTAAAATCGATAACAGCCTTATACAAACATTTGTGGAGTTAAATGAACTATTTTCTCCTAAACAGAAAAGATATCCATCCCTCTACTTGCAAAGTAAAACCGCTAAAGAAATAGGAAATGATCAATTAGCTTATAAAATTTTCTTTAACTGAATGGCTAGTATACTATTTTATTCATTTTTCAACACCTAAATGAGTTAAAAACACACATGTAGAAAATTCTTGCTTGATGCCAATTTTTTTCTTTCAACAGTATAGCACTTGAAACTGATATGGCTGTCACGTTCTGGCATGACTGCATAATAATGCTCGGTGGCGTGACACTGTTGTCACACCGTTGATAAATGTGCTAGTTTGTCACAAACGATTTTGTTTTGCAGTTTCCCGACACAAGGCGGATTAGGTTACAAAAAGGCACTTGAAACTGACATGACCGCATAATCTTTCTCAAAAGAAGCGCTTGTGCAAATACTTGGTGCATTGTTTACATTGCTAGTATCTTTCGTGCTGACATTTTCCTCTTCTTTTGTGATGGTATTCAAAATATTTTAAATTTAGAGAACAATAGAACCACGTGCTCGAAAGTACTTTAGGAAGTAATGCTTTTTGGATGCATAGACGACTGCGTGGGATTACATAAACGACTGCGTGGCGATTACATCGATGACTACGCGGCGATTACAAAGTTGAGCACACTAGAGGTCGTGTTGGTTGTCGACATGAACTGAATAAAGTTACTGTGGAACCAAACGCAGTTTTCTGTCAGGATCAGAAAGAAGAACGTAACAATCGTCCCTCAAGGCCTTGCAACTTTTCTGTATTGTGCAGAAACGAAACCTTCGCCTTCAATTAATTCGAAGAACGTTGTTTTCAAAACTGGAATAACTTATACCCTCGTAAAGTTTTTCCGGATCTTTCACAAAGTTAACCACGCTGGGATGAAATGGATCAAGTACGGGAAGTCTAAAAGCGGCATATTCTTCCTCAACTTAAGTTTCATCAATTCCTTTTGCTAATGTTTGTGTTGGAGGCAGCAGATCGTAAGCATATTTAGAGATGATTGATCGGTAGTGAAACCACTGTAATAAACAAAAGCAAGAGATGCCCCCCCCAAAAAAAAACAAACAAATAAACAAACAAACAAACGTAGGCACGCTATGCATGCAAGAGTTATTTTTTGGGTGGGTGGATTAATTGAAACATTGTAAGTGATGTCTACATTTTTAGAAAAGGAAAGAGTATTAACGCGGAAAAGAACGAAAATGACGAATTAACTCACACACAGGTATTTTGTGGTCGATTGTAAACTGTATTGGTGCCACGGATACTTGTTAGTACAAAATGCAGAGTGCAGACCGGATACAACATGCAGACTAGGTACAAAATGTGGGCTGCAGACTACAGAGTGGGTACAAAATGCAGACTGAGAATTTATACTTTTTTTCGTCTGATAGGTGATAACATGTCATCTTACAACTTAACGAGCGTCACGAAATCGCTTTTCCGCGATCAGCTTTCACGATTATTTGCACTATTGTGGAATATTGCTGACCCATTTCTTGATCAAAATCGTTGTTAATATAATTTCAAGCCTTCATATAGTGATGTCTGTACAGTTTTTACTAATTCAATAAAAGCAGATGTGTGATGTGTGATTAGCCTACTTGCATGTATCTTAACTTGATAGTGTGGAAATGTGGAAGTGTGAAGGTGTGGAGATCTGGAAATATGCAAATGATCTTCACCTTACTCACATTCACCTAACTTGGTAGTGTTGAAGTGTGGAACGGTGTAAGTGTGGAAGTCTGAAAATATGCAAATGAGTCTTAACCTTACTCACATTTATCTTCACTTGCATTGTGATGACGTGTTCTGTGCTCTTTTACCCCAAGTAAAAGCCATTCACTGCCAAATGTAGCTACTACAGACAACCGCCTCGATGAATCCAGCCTGAGGATTCAGGTCTATAGTTAATGATTTATATCAAATGATGAAAAACATAACATTAACTCAAACTCATTGGAGAAACGTCTTCCTGATTACCGTCAGACCTAAAATTGAACCGTCAGTAGCCTGTAGTGCAGGTGTCTTATTAGCTAGCGCGAGGTAACGCTATAAGCACGCGATCGTTTACTCGACCTGCCATGTTTATTTTGGAGTTAGAGTGGACGGTGGGGGTAGGGGGGGGAGGGCAAGAATTTTCACTCCCCCATCCTACCCCTCTCCTTATTTTTGACCGTCGACCGCCCCCTTAGTCCAAATTATTTCTCTCCCAAGCCTTCCGCTTCCATTAAAATCAAAGATGGCGGCCATAATTTTCGTCAAGAAAATACTGAGCACTCGCTCTTCAAAATTACGCCTGCTCTGCAGGCTATTAGTTTAACATGGTCGTGAACTTGTAATAATTGATCTTGCAGCATTGCAAGGTTTCTCTTATTTCAAAAGCCAAGGTCCACAATTATGGTAAACATCCAACTCCGCAGAATAATTAACGTATAAATTGCCTACAAAAACAGCACAAAATAGTATCACGGGTCTATCGAATTTCCGTTTGCAAAATTCGTCAAATTTAACCGCTTGAATCCAAATCTTACTTCGCCTGCACGAGTCAAATTCCGCTATTTTCCAGTTCTGTCACTCTTCGCCTCGTGGTGGCTCAATATATATTTGCATTGTAACGCAATGATCTTTGTTTACCATAGATAAAAATCAATAACGATTTTACGCATTCCTATTGGCTAGCTGTGCAATTTGTCCATGAAAGGAAAGAGAAACCCAGCCGGATTTTTACCGTCTGTCATATGCGTACGTGTGATCCCCGCATTCGAAAGGCAGCTATTTTTTTTTAAAATATTTACTATACGTCCCTAGTCCAAGATTTTGAGTTTACTTTATTGAGTCAAGGTCTTCACAGAGAGCAAACTGATTATTTCACCCTAGATGAAGAAATTGTCGAACAGTAACAGTATTTCCGAAGTAGAGGAAAATTGTGTGAGATACAGTCTGCCTGGTTTTTATAAGCATCAATCCGACTTATTTCCGCTGTAAGTTCAGGAACACCTTGCTTCATTCGAACCGAAACTTCGTAAAATCCTTCGTTCGGAGATGTTGTAAATTGTATCTGATATAAAGTGTCCCTGACGAGAGTGTTTTCAGTCTTTTGGCCCAACAGCGCTTCGCAGCCGTCACATCTGTCATCTGCGGCGTGCTTTGCCCTTTCAAATCTTTGCAGGGCTTCCTTCGGCATCTCACGAAACGCGCTCTTTATTTCCTTCAACTGCAACCGCTGACATAGTTTTGATAATTCATCGGTATGTGACGTCAGATCATTAATATGCTTTAAGACAAAAGCTGCTATTTCTTTGACAACGGGCTCATCGAGTGACACGGCTTCCAAGTCAAGGCAAGGGCAATAATGATCTGCTACACCTGTACTTGCACATGTGCGATTTGTCCTCTCAATTCGGCTAAAAAGGCTCTGACCAGTGATAATTCCGCTTGGATACTGTGGGTATGAAAGAATGTGACGTAGAGTAGCATAAACGTCAAACGGTGATGTAAGAATATGCGAATTGTTAACGAGATTATTGTTGAGGTCTGGGTACTTTTCTTGAAACCATTTCGGTAAAGTGATTGACATAAATGGAAGCCTTTCTTCGAGTTTACCTTGAAGTGTTTTCCTCAAATTTGAGAAGCGCGCTCCATGGTCACTGAAAATAATCAGCATTGTATTATCTAAGAATGATTCTTTCTCAAACTCATCGAGAAATATTTTTAGATCATCGTCTACGTAGCCAATCGTGTTTATGTTATCATGAGAAATTGCACTGTGTGAGGCGAACGCAAACCTCGGCCGATCCCTATATCTACGGAAGAAACTCAGTAGATATTCAAAAGATACATTGTGAGATGCTCGGCTGTTGACACAATGTGCTCTCAAAAGTTTGTCTGCCTCCATCCAGAATGGTCTGCCGTAATGGTCAGTAGGAGGGTCTCGGAAACCGTTTAAGCGATAATTGAACGCTGCAGTTCCCGGTGAATCTTCTGAAAAACAAGTAGCGTATCCTTTCTCTTTTAGATCTTTAAAAATCCACCGCCAGCTGTCGACAGTTTTCGATGAACTTTTTCTCTTTCGTGCATCCTGTTGGTTTTTCTCCGGTAAACCAGTTAACATTGCAGCCAGCTGGGCAGTAGTGCCATCTCCTACGATTGTCTCACCTGTCAATTGGGTAAAAATCAAGGAAGACTCAACTGATCTTTGCTTCACACAGAAAGGAAGGCGTGACTGATTTAAAGCTATGGCTGCACGTACGCTTATAATCATCAAATGACAAAACGAAAAAGGAACGTTTCACTCTGAATAAGGGGATATCACAAATCATAGAAAGAAAGGACTCTTATAAATTATAGTCACCAAGGCGTTGAAAACACAGTGAAAGCGTTAGATTACTAGAAGTACAACTTGCTTTACTTTTTCCGTTAAGTAGGGGAAATGGACGAGCTGGTAAGGCTTTCTTTTCTTTATTTTTAGAGCGAAGCCGATTTCTATCTTTTCAACCCTGCGATGGAATAGCCCAGGAAAATGGACTACCATCCTCAGGGTCATTACCATTTGAAGCGTTAAATATTGTGTCACCCAGAAAATCTACAGCAATCGATTCGCACGCAGATTCATCACTATCAAGTTTTTAGCCAGAGAGCTAGTAAATCGTGAACTATTAGGCGGGACCTTAGACCCGCGATAGTATTTTCCTTCTATGTTGGGAAAAAAACAATGACTTCTTGCTGAAATTGGAAAACACTACATCTAAGAGCTAACTGGGGTAGAGAGAGAAACCATAGTCGTACCAGCGGGAAAACAATAAATGGGAAACAGCAGGGATGTTTCGAATAATAGATAAAGAGAGAATAGTAGTCGACAAGCTGCTGTTATAGCAAATTTCCGGAGAGGGTTATGGAAGCGGCCTTATTTTCCCGGCGAGGAAGAAAAGACGAGTCAATAAACGGGGGTGTAAGTTCGAGAAGCAGGGTGTTTTGAAATGTTAAAGCTCTTTGGGGTAACCTCTAATGCAAGAGGCTAGTCACGGCTGTTTTTTTTGCATCGGTAGGCGTATTAATAACCGATTACATCTTTTGCAGGTAAAATTAAGTAAAATGGAGTTTTATGGGACTTACCTCGCATAACAATAGAGTTTAAATTCGTAGTCAAATGTTTCCAGCTTTTGGGTAATTTTCGTTTAAAGTTAGCAGTTGAAGTAGAGTCAAACATAACTAGCGCAACATTTAGTGGAATACCACCAGGTTTCTGTTCCCTTTTGAGAACTTCTTGTTTAGGAAACACGTGCATGTGTACGTCACTTTTCGTGGCTCCCGAAGACGTCACGACCTCGACTCGGATAAAGTCGTGATCCACCGCTGCTTCACCATGAAAACTACCTGAAAAATAAATGAAAATATAGACTTTTGATTAATACCTTGTACTCAAACATCTGTATGCATATTTTCCCTTCTGTTTTCCATACATTCCTTATGGCACCAAAATGCTTCTAAAGTTGGTGACAATTTCTTCCACTCTCATGAAATTATTGTTTGATTCAGCAGTGATACTGTGGGGAGAAATAAGAGGCTACTCACTCGAAGAATTTGTGAGGATGATACCACATAATATTATTTCTCTGATAGTACAGAATATAATCTCTTTTCCTGTACAGAATATTATGCGTCTTATAAACTGCTGTGTTTTTAAAAGGATTTCCAATCCCGGCCGAGAAAAGCAGTAACTGCACACGTGTAAAATTACGATAATTTTTTACATGTGTTTGATATCACCAGTCAGTTGCAGAAAAACTCGTCATTTACGTCACTCGCCATTCGCATCACTCTGTCAGCTTGAGGAATGAACGGCAAAACGTTCACCATTCTTAATCCAGGATCGTTTGCTCGTTCATTGATAGAGTCGACTTTTCTTGTCATCCAAGGCCCGTGGTGTTTATTTAATATACAAAATAATACATGGTTGCTTTTTGATATGGAATTTCTCTTTCCATTTTCAACTTGATATCATTCACGAGCGAGCTACGGCCAAAAAAGATAGGGAGGAGGGAGAAAGTTATTGTTTGTCATGGAAAAGTAAAGAAAAAATGTCAGGGAGACGGTAGAACCAGCATGAGGAGAACGTCTTCTAAAAAACGCGACAGGAGTGTTTTTTTAGACTTAAAAAGCCTTCCAGTGAATGAATAAAACAGTGAAAATTGTGTAGTAAGGATTTCCGCTTGTGGTATCAACAATCTTATGTCCTTCCCTGTATCGAGTCTTGGCCGAGTGGTGACGACCACGCGTTGGATTTTGACCGCTTTTTACGTAGCGTCTACATATTTTATTACAAAAAAAGAATCGGTGAGTTACAAGGTGAGTGAATGTTATTTTAAAGTGCAAGTTAGAACCGTTTGTGGTCTTGCATTGATGATGATGCATTGATTGATTTCAAGTCATTTCAATTGTCTGTTTAAATTGTATGGTCGAAGATCAAGGTCAAGGCCGTGGTGAGTACGGAATGTTTTGCCGTTCAAGTTTTCTGTGCACTGCATGTGTGTGATTAGGTCTGTGAGTTTACAGGCGGCCCAAGCTCCAGCTGTGAGATGATCATCTTGCGCAATAACAGGGAATATTTACGGCCGCCCTAAGGAATAAAATAACGCGTCAAATTCTCAAAAAAAATACCTCACCTTACTTCTACAGCGTAACGCTTGTTATCTGACCGCTTACTTTGATGAAAAGGACGCATTTTAGCGAGTTGTCCATTTCGACGTTTTCAACGTTTCCAACGTTCATAATTCCTCATAATGTACGTTGAAAACGTCGAAATGAACAACTCGCTAAAATGGGCTCTTTTCATTAAGGTAAGCGGTCAGATAACAAATGATACATTGTGGAAGTAAGGTGAGGTATTTTTTTTGAGAATTTGACGTATTTTTTTTATTCCTGAGGGCGGTCGTATATATGCCCATACAAACTCTTATAATTCCGCCATGACTGTTATTGCGCAAGATGATTATCTCACAGCTGGAGCTTGGGCCGCCTGTGGTGAGTCATGCTTTGGTGCTTTCATTAAAACATGAAAACCTTGCAAATGGAAACACTGACAATGATCTACAACATTTACGTGCTATGCTTGATATGGTGTATGTTGTTTCTCGTTGTTGAAGGTTACAAAATAAACACATCATTTTTGAGGATTATTCGAGAGACCGAGCCTTTAGGCACAGTTGCAATGAGTTTTACCACTTGAAGCTGTAAAACAACGCGATAGAATGCGATCCCAAACTCATAGAGCATAGAGAAATAAGTTTGAAGAGTGTCTGGGACTTGTTTTCGAGTCAAAATTTCTGTGTTAGCTGCAAACTGTTGACTGAACACGCACGACAGGACATTATGATAGGCACGATAGGTCCAATAATGATAGTGACGAAAGTGGCGATGAACTGGCAGAACAAACTGGCCAGTGCAACATGCCCACACGTAAGTACAGCAGCAAGCAGGCTCGAGTTCCTGCAAGATATCACGACATTCTCTGACTTTAAAGCCGGAAGTGAGGTGGTAAGTTGTAAATTACTTTCACACAATGTAGATACAATACAATGTTTAATAAATGTACTTGTGTTATTCTATTTTATCTAGCAAGTAGTTATGAGTAACCATTCTGCCCTATGTAAAGCATTTTTAATAAATGTTGTAAGATCAAAGCTTCAAGCTTACGTCACAAAATCAAACGGTATGGAAAGAAATAAAGTACTACTGCACGTGCTAGATAAGAAGAAAAAAGCGTTTCAAATGTTTTCTTTTTCAGACATGGAAACGAGGTACTGCAGTGTATCGTCACCTGATTTAAACCTCGTAAAGCACTAATCAGGGAGAGAGAGAGAGGAAAAATTAGGGAGGAGAGAGAAATGGCCGAAAAAATTAGAGAAGAGGGAGATAGTTAAGGTAAAAAAAAACGGGCAGTTAAAATTTAACTGCCCGTTCCTCTCCCTTCTGACAAGTCAGTATTATGAGCCTCTTAAAACTAATTAAAGTAGCTCGGCTTCAGTTTCCTTTATCAGGAATTCATAATAAATTCTTTCAGCAAGTGTAATTTTGTACACGTTTTGTTGCTCACCTGGAGCGTAATCTATCTGAAGTTCACACAAGGTTTTCAAAAGGTTTTCATCACTGATTGGCAAACTTTTCCTCAAAAAATTAAAATTCTCTTAGAGGTCTTAAATTAGCAACAAACCCAATAGCATCGCCATTAACTAACATGGCCGCCGAGATCGTTGCCACCTTTATCGGAAAAGAGTAAAAACATATTTACTAACAATGGAGAACTTAAGCGGATCCTATTCTGCCTGAATAGAGAGGAATTAATTCGCGTCGCGGCGACGCGAATTAATTCCTCAACAATTTAAGGTTTGCTTTCACATCAACCATCCAAGTGGAAAGCCAATTGTTCTAGCATTCTGAAAAAGTAAAGAAAAGAACTATAACCTTCTGATTCGTTATTTGTGCTTCAAAAGCTCTTTCCTCAGGGTTATTAAATCAAACACGTAAAAGTTTTGAAGTTGCTAATCCGGTTGTATTGGTTACTACTCATTGACGATTGTTGATAATAAAAATGCGCCTCTGCGTGAAAGAAAATGCAAATTTCCCACGTTGCGCAACTTTCTGAATTAATAACTGAGTCGAATTTTCACTTCTAACAGTGAATCATTCACAAAGAAACTTTGTCATGGATACAATTTTCTAGTTAAGTAGGCTATTCAACTGTAGAAGGTTTATTACTCCACCGGCTGTTATTGTTCTTCTTCGCAAATTATATTTATGAAAGTTCCTTTGCATGACAAAAATGCAAATTTCTTGCGTTCCTCGCTGAAGACTCAGTGAGTCACGGAAAAAATTCTCAGTCCTAAGTTGATTCTTCAGAAAGAAAAGCTTGCCAAAGAAGCAATTTTCTCTCTATGTGGTTGTCCGCCAAAACCAAGAGGAAAGAAGTAATTTGAGTTAAGCAAAATTGCTTGGGGCTTTGTTCAACTAGTTACCACTTGTTTTTAAACTACCATGACCAATCAATGTTTTGCGAAGCTTTAAAACCGTTTAATCAGACCAACAATATCAATACAATATCTTTTACATTGACATATATTCCCCAGTAACCGATTACACCGAAAACATTCAGGAAATAAAAGCTATTAACATTAAAATTAAAGCTCCGCTTTTGAGGTCAGTTTGGGCTACAGAATCCATGCATGCTGTTTACCTTAATTCATTTTTCACAAGGTTTCGCAACACATCGACAAGCAGTTTTAAGTCGTTTTTTATGAGCATGTACTTGCAAGTTACCAAATCTACTAATGTTTCTAATATGCCCTGTTTTAATTTACTTGCAAGATTTTTGTATCGATTCAATATCAAGCGACACAGATGCGTACCTGGAGAAGAGCAAGATAGATGCGAGTGAACTTAGGTCAGACATTTGCAACTTACCTTTCTGATTGCTTGTTTCGTTTTGAATGTTTACAGGATCCGATAACACAACACTGAAGTCGTTTCCAGGAGCCCTTAAAATCTTTCTGTACTGCGCAGAAACAAGCCCTTGGCCTTCAATCCGAAGCACGTTGTTGTCATAACTTGAAAACCTCGGTCCTTGGCAATTTAGTTTTCCAACATCCCTCATAAACTTAACCACACTCGGATGGAATGGATCTACGTTAGGAACTTTGCAAGCAATAATGCTTCTATCCTCTTCTATTTCTTTGGTAAATCTAATTTCAGCCTTCTCGGTTTCTCTGTCTTTCAATGTCTGGGTGGGGTTTGACAAACCGTTAGTAAAGGTAGGAGTATTTGTCAATCTTCGGTACACGAAGCCAAGTGAAAACAAAATGAAAATTCCAATTACGAAATGAAATTGGATGTGACGACGTTTCCTACAAGTATTTCTTGCTAGTTTTAACATCGACATTTCAAGCACAAGCTGTTCGCATAAACATTTCCGCAATTGCCAATGCGCATACCTCAACCTAGTGCCAGATCCCTCACGGGACAAGTTGTTCGCGCGTCATCAATGTTTGTTGAACTTCGGCGGGAAACAGAGTCAAGAAAAGCCTGGAACGTTTGCAAAGCTTTCTTCGTTCTACGATGGGCTGAGGAGATCGTTACTCTGTGTGGGGATGCGACCATAACCGCAGATATCCCAAAAAGAGCGAAAATTTTGAAGAACACCTTTTATCTACATTTCGTGGCAAAACGTGTAGTTATGATAATATCAGCTTCCACCACTGTTAGAGTTACTTTTTATCTCATCAGTCACCAGTAGGTTACGCTTTTCACTACCTATTTGGCCCAGTGTTTATATTTAGTTAATATTTTCCTTTCCAGAATCATCACTTTTCCTTTCATTCTTTCCTCAACGATTCTGCGTACCGTGTATTCTTTCAGAAATAATACAAGATTTGGACCATCTCGCGTGAATGGGTCGCGTTTTAAATGTCTGTTGGTAGAAAAACTTATGTCAGACTTGGAAACCCGTAACGAGCTGAGCCAATAGCAGAGAAGCTGTGAAGTTTGGTGTAACTTGTCCAGTGTCACAACAACGGTGTCGTAGGTGAGACCAAGGAAGATCATTCTAGTAGAGGGAAGACAGTCCTTTGTCGTTGAGGATTCGAGACCCAGGTTGGTGTAAAGTTGTCCAAGGTGCGTGAAAGCCACTACCGCTTCATCATAGGACGCCAGCCTCGACGCCTCGAAAGTTGTCATTATAATTTTTACAATCAAAGTGAAACGATGTACGGAAGAAGTGAGCGGTAGTATTGGTAGTGCGAGGGTCGCCGCGCGGAGGCCAAACGGAGAACAAACTCGAAATGTAATAAATCCTGCCAGCGATAACCAAGAAAGATGTAGTCCTTGGGGTCTACGGGGATTTGCCTGTATGCGCGTTTCAAGTCTTTTTTGAAAAGGTCACAGACTGGGCCCTTAGCTAAGATAGGGTCTACGAAATCTGCGGAACGAAGGAGAGTAAGGTAAAGTCCGGAAGTTTGCAGTATGCACAAATATGTTCCGCACCCTGTTATTGAGACGAGTTGCTGCAGGAGCCGTTACGGTTCCACTCATGGCAATAATTCTGCCGCCGGTTGCTATTGTGTGTGGTGGAATGGTTTTTGTTGTAGTTGGCAGTGAGAAGTTTCGTGGGAAGACGGTTTAACTCTAATATTGAAGCGTTCGATTTCGCTGAAATTGTCGCCCCAATTGGCACGTGTGGCGTGGAAGGATAAAACAGCGTGCCATTGATATCTGGACGCGAGGCGCATGGCATGACAATTTGTTACGATGTTGTTCGGAAAGGAACGTCACAGAAAGCACAAAAAGGAATAAGTTCATCGACAACTGTCGATAGCTGGAGCTGGATTTTCAGAGATCTAAAAGGCCAGTGGTTTTTCAGAAGATACACCACAAAGTACAGCATTCGATTTTCGTTCTCCCAGACCCTCTTACTGAAAATGACAGCAGACCATCCTGGTTATTCCCGAGAGACCGAATGGACTGAATAAATATTTTAATACTATTATTATTATTATTAATGTTGTTATTATTTATTTAAATTTAAAGTTGCTATCTGTATGTGGCTATTTTTATTTATTTATCATTTGGAACTGTATAAGTGTGGAAGTCTGAAAATATGCAAATAAGTCTTAACCTCACTCACATTTATCTTAACTTACATTGTGATGACGTGTTTTGTGCTCTTTTACCCCAAGTGAAAGCTATTTATTGCCAAATGTAGCTACTACAGACAACCGCCTTAATGAATCCAGCCTGAGGATTCAGGTCTATAGTTAATAATTTATGTCAAATGATGAAAAACATAACATTAACTCAAACTCATTGAAGAAACGTCTTCCTGATTACCGTCAGACCTAAAATTGAACCGTCAGTAGCCTGTAGAGCAGGCGTCCTATTAGCTAGCGCGAAATAACGTTATAAGCACGCGGTCGTTTACCCGACTGGCCATGTTTAATTTGGAGTTAGAGTGGACGGTGGGGGTAGGGGACGGGGAAAGGGCAAGAATTTAACTCCCCCACCTTACCCCTCTCCTTATTTTTGACCGTCGACCGCCCCTTGGTCCAAATTATTTCTCTCCCCAGCCCTCCGCTTGCATTAAAATCAAAGATGGCGGCCATAATTTTCGTTAAGAAAATACTGATCACTCGCTCGTCAAAATTACGCCTGCTCTGCAAGCTACAGGTTAAACATGGTCGTGAACTTGTAATAACTGGTCTTGCAGCATTGCAAGGTTTCTCTTATTTCAAAAGCCAAGGTCCACAATTATGGTAAACATCCAACTCCGCAGAATAATTAACGTATAAATTGCCTACAAAAACAGCACGAAATAGTATCACGGGTCTATCGAATTTCCGTTTGCAAAATTCGTCAAATTTAACCGCTGGAATCCAAATCTTACCTCGCCTGCACGAGTTAAATTCCATTATTTTCCAGTTCTATCACTTTCCGCCTCATAGTGGCTCAATATATATTTGCATCGTAACGCAATGATCTTTGTTTACCATAGATAAAAATCGATGACGGTTTTACGCATTCCTATTGGCTAGCTGTCCAATTTGTCCATGAAATGAAAAAAAAAACCCAGCCGGATTTTTACCGTCTGTCATTTGCGTACGCGTGATCTCCGCATTCGAAAGGCAACTATTTTTTAAAAATATCTACTACACGTCCTTAGTCCAAGATTTTGAGTTTACTCTATTGAGTCAAGGTCTTCATAGAGAGCAAAATGATTATTTCACCCTAGATGAAGAAATTGTCGAACAGTAACAGTATTTCCGAAGTAGAGGAAAATTGTGTGAGATACAGTCTGCCTGGTTTTTATAAGCATCAATCCGACTTATTTCCGCTGTAAGTTCAGGAACACCTTGCTTCATTCGAACCGAAACTTCGTAAAATCCTTCGTTCGGAGATGTTGTAAATTGTATCTGATATAAGGTGTCCCTGACGAGAGTGTTTTCAGTCTTTTGGCCCAGCAGCGCTTCGCAGCTGTCACATCTGTCATCTGCGGCGTGCTTTGACCTTTCAAATCTTTGCATGGCTTCCTTCGGCATCTCACGAAACGAGCTCTTTATTTCCTTCAACTGCAACCGCTGACATAGTTTTGATAATTCATCGGTATGTGACGTCAGATCATTAATATGCTTTAAGACAAAAGCTGCTATTTCTTTGACAACGGGCTCATCGACTGACACGGCTTCCAAGTCAAGACAAGGGCAATAATGATCTGCTACACCTGTACTTGCACATGTGCGATTTGTCCTCTCAATTCGGCTAAAAAGGCTCTGACCAGTGATAATTCCGCTTGGATACTGTGGGTATGAAAGAATGTGACGTAGAGTAGCATAAACGTCAAACGGTGATGTAAGAATATGCGAATTGTAAACGAGATTATTGTTGAGGTCTGGGTACTTTTCTTGAAACCATTTCGGTAAAGTGATTGACAAAAAAGGAAGCCTTTCTTCGAGTTTACCTTGAAGTGTTTTCCTCAAATTTGAGAAGCGCGTTCCATGGTCACTGAAAATAATCAGCATTGTATTATCTAAGAATGATTCTTTCTCAAACTCATCGAGAAATATTTTTAGATCATCGTCTACGTAGCCAATCGTGTTTATGTCATCATGAGAAATTGCACAGTGCGAGGCGAAAGCAAACCTCGGCCGATCCCTATATCTACGGAAGAAACTCAGTAGATATTCAAAAGATACATTGTGAGATGCTCGGCTGTTGACACAATGTGCTCTCAAACGTTTGTCTGCCTCCATCCAGAATGGTCTGCCGTAATGGTCAGTAGGAGGGTCTCGGAAACCGTTTAAGCGATAATTGAACGCTGCAGTTCCTGGTGAATCTTCTGAAAAACAAGTAGCGTATCCTTTCTCTTTTAGATCTTTAAAAATCCACCGCCAGCTGTCGACAGTTTTCGATGAACTTTTTCTCTTTCGTGCATCCTGTTGGTTTTTCTCCGGTAAACCAGTTAACATTGCAACCAGCTGGGAAGCGGTGCCATCTCCTACGATTGTCTCACCTGTCAATTGGGTAAAAATCAAGGAAGACTCAACTGATCTTTGCTTCACACAGAAAGGAAGGCGTGACTGATTTAAAGCTATGGCTGCACGTACGCTTATAGTCACCAAATGACAAGACAAAAAAGGAACGTTTCACTCTGAATAAGGGGATATCACAACTTATAGAAAGAAAGGACTCTTATAAATTATAGTCACCAAGGCGTTGAAAATACAGTGAAAGTGTTAGATAACTAGAAGTACAACTTGCTTTACTTTTTCCGTTAAGTAGGGGAAATGGACGAGCTGGTAAGGCTTTCTTTTCTTTATTTTTAGAGCGAAGCCGATTTCTATCTTTTCAACCCTGCGATGGAATAGCCTAGGAAAATGGACTACCATCCTCAGGGCTATTACCATTTGAAGCGTTAAATATTGTGTCACCCAGAAAATCTACAGCAATCGATTCGCACGCAGATTCATCACAATCAAGTTTTTAGTCAGAGAGCTAGTAAACCGTGAACTATTAGGCGGGACCTTAGACCCGCGATAGTATTTTTCTTCTAGGTTGGGAAAAAAAACAATGACTTCTTGCTGAAATTGGAAAACACTACATCTAAGAGCTAACTGGGGCAGAGAGAGATACCATAGCCGTACTAGCGGGAAAACAATAAATGGGAAACAGCAGGGATGTTTCGGATAATAGATAAAGAGAGAATAGTAGTCGACAAGCTGCTGTTATCGCAAATTTCCCGAAAGGGTTGTGGAGGCGGCCTTATTTCCCGGCGAGGAAGAAAAGTCGAGTCAGTAAACGGGGGTGTAAGGTCGAGAAGCAGGGTGTTTTGAAAGGTTAAAGCTCTTCTGGGGTAACCTCTAATGCAAGAGGCTAGTCACGGCTGTCTTTTTGCATCGATAGGCGTATTAATAACCGATTACATCTTTTGCGGGTAAAATGAAGTGAAATGGAGTTTTATGGGACTTACCTCGCATAACAATAGAGTTTAAATTCGTAGTCAAATGTTTCCAGCTTTTGGGTAATTTTCGTTTAAAGTTAGCAGTTGAAGTAGAGTCAAACATAACTAGCGCAACGTTTAGTGGAATACCGCCAGGTTTCTGTTCCCTTTTGAGAACTTCTTGTTTAGGAAACACGTGCATGTGTACGTCACTTTTCGTGGCTCCCGAAGACGTCACGACCTCGACTCGGATAAAGTCGTGATCCACCGCTGCTTCACCATGAAAACTACCTGAAAAATAAATGAAAATATAGACTTTTGATTAACACCTTGTACTCAAACATCTGTATGCACATTTTCTCTACTGTTCGCCATACATTCCTTATGGCACCAAAATGCTTCTAAAGTTGGTGACAATTTCTTCCACTCTCATGAAATAACTGTTTGATTCAGCAGTAAAATTGTGGGGAGAAATTATAGGTTACTTACTCGAAGAATTTGTAAGGATGATACCACATAATATTATTCCTCTGATAGCACAGAATATAATCTCTCTTCCTGCTCAGAATATTATGTGTCCAATAAACTGCTGTGTTTTTAAAACTTTTTCCAATCCCGGCCGAGAAAAGCAGTAACTGCACACGTGTAAAATTACGATAATTTTTTTTACATGTGTTTGATGTCACCAGTCAGCTGCAGAAAAACTCGTCATTTACGTCACTCGCCATTCGCATCACTCTGTCAGCTTGAGGAATGAATGACAAAACGTTTACCATTCTTAATCCAGGATCGTTTGCTCATTCATTGATAGAGTCGACTTTTCTTGTCATCTAAGGCCCGTGGTGTTTATTTAATAAATAAAATAATACATGGTTGCGTTTTGATATGGAATTTCTCTTTCTATTTTCAACTTCATATCTTTCACGAGCATAGAAATGCAGTGCAGAAAATTAGTTGTGATTTTCAACTCTTCTGATTGTGGATCAAAGTATAAGAAAGCCATGGAAATCCACGCTGAAAACATTGCAAATGGAAACACTGACAATGATTTACAACATTTACGTGCTACGCTTGATATGGTGTGTGTTGTTAACTGCCTACCCTGTAGCCCAACAAGCTAGTTCCTCGTTGTTGAAGGTTACAAATAAACACATCATTTTTAAGGATTATTCGAGAGACTGAGCCTTTAGGCACAGTTGCAATGAGTTTTACCACTTGAAGCTGTAAAACAACGCGATAGAATGCGATCCCAAACTCATAGAGCATAGAGAAATAAGTTTGAAGAGTGTCTGGGACTTGTTTTCGAGTCAAAATTTCTGTGTTAGCTGCAAACTGTTGACTGAACACGCACGACAGGACATTATGATAGGCACGATAGGTCCAATAATGATAGTGACGAAAGTGGCGATGAACTGGCAGAACAAATTGGCCAGTGCAACATGCCCACGCGTAAATACAGCAGCAAGCATGCTCGAGTTCCTGCAAGATATCACGACATTCTCTGACTTTAAAGCCGGAAGTGAGGTGGTAAGTTGTAAATTACCTTCACACAATGTAGATGCAATACAATGTTTAATAAATGTACTTGTGTTATTCTATTTCATCTGGCAAGTAGTTATAAGTAACCATTCTGCCCTATGTAAAGCATTTTTAATAGATGTTGTAAGATCAAAGCTTCAAGCTTACGTTACAAAATCAAACGGTTTGGAAAGAAATAAAGGGCTACTGCACGTGCTGAATAAGAAGAAAAACGCGTTTCAAATGTTTTCCTTCTTTTCAGACATGGAAACGAGGTACTGCAGTGTATCGTCACCTGATTTAAACCTCGTAAAGCACTAATCAGGGAGAGAGAGAGAGAGGAAAAATCAGGGAGGAGAGAGAAATGGCCGAAAAAATTAGGGAGGAGGGAGATAATAAAGGTAAAAAAAAAAACGGGCAGTTAAAATTTAACTGCCCGTTCCTCTCCCTTCTGACAAGTCAGTATTATGAACCTCTTAAAACTAATTAAAGTAGCTCGGCTTCAGTTTCCTTTATCAGGAATTCATAATAAATTCTTTCAGCAGGTGTTATTTTGTACACGTCTTGTTGCTCACCTGGAGCGTAATCTATCTGAAGTTCACACAAGGTTTTCAAAAGGTTTTCATCACTGATTGGCAAACTTTTCCTCAAAAATTAAAATTCTCTTAGAGGTCTTAAATTAGCAACAAACCCAATAGCATCGCCATTAACTAACATGGCCACCGAGATCGTTGCCACCTTTATCGGAAAAGAGTAAAAACATATTTACTAACAATGGAGAATTAAGCAGATCCTATTCTGCCGGAATAGGGAGGAATTAATTTGCGTCGCGGCGACGCGAATTAATCCCTCAACAATTTAAGGTTTGCTTTCACATCAACCATCCAAGTGGAAAGCCCTTGTTCTTTTTCGCAAATTATATTTATGAAAGTTCCTTTGCATGACAAAATGCAAATTTTTCTTGCGTTCCTCGCTGAAGACTCAGTGAGTCACGAAAAAATTCTCAGTCCTTAGTTGATTCTTCAGAAAGAAAAGCTTGCCAAAGAAGCAATTTTCTCTCTATGTGGTTGTCCCCCCAAAACCAAGAGGAAAGAAGTAATTTGAGTTAAGCAAAATTGCTTGGGGCTTTGTTCAACTAGTTACCACTTGTTTTTAAACTACCATGACCAATCAATGTTTTGCGAAGCTTTAAAACCGTTTAGTCAGACCAAAAATATCTTTTACATTGACATATATTCCTCAGTAACCGATTGCACCGAAAACATCCAGGAAATAAAAGCTATTAACATTAAAAATAAAGCTCCGCTTTTGAGGTCAGTTTGGCTTACGTGATCCATGCATGCTGTTTACCTTTATTCATTTTTCACAAGGTTTCACAACACATCGACAAGCAGTTTTAAGTCGTTTTTTATGAGCATGTACTTGCAAGTTACCAAATCCAATATCCTCTGTTTTAATTTACTTGCAAGATTTTTGTATCGATTCAATATCAAGCGACACAGATGCGTACCTAGAGAAGAGCAAGATAGATGCGAGTGAGCTTAGATCAGACATTTGCAACTTACCTTTCTGATCGCTTGTTTCGTTTTGAATATTTACAGGATCCGATAACACAACACTGAAGTCGTTTCCAGGAGCCCTTAAAATCTTTCTGTACTGCGCAGAAACAAGCCCTTGGCCTTCAATCCGAAGCACGTTGTTGTCATAACTTGAAAACCTCGGTCCTTGGCAATTTAGTTTTCCAACATCCCTCATAAACTTAACCACACTCGGATGGAATGGATCTACGTTAGGAACTTTGCAAGCAATAATGCTTCTATCCTCTTCTATTTCTTTGGTAAATCTAATTTCAGCCTTCTCGGTTTCTCTGTCTTTCAATGTCTGGGTGGGGTTTGACAAACCGTTAGTAAAGGAAGGAGTATTTGCCAATCTTCGGTACACGAAGCCAAGTGAAAACAAAATGAAAATTCCAATTACGAAATGAAATTGGATGTGACGACGTTTCCTACAAGTATTTCTTGCTAGTTTTAACATCGACATTTCAAGCACAAGCTGTTCGCATAAACATTTCCGCAATTGCCAATGCGCATACCTCAACCTAGTGCCAGATCCCTCACGGGACAAGTTGTTCGCGCGTCATCAATGTTTGTTGAACTTCGGCGGGAAACAGAGTCAAGAAAAGCCTGGAACGTTTGCAAAGCTTTCTTCGTTCTACGATGGGCTGAGGAGATCGTTACTCTGTGTGGGGATGCGACCATAACCGCAGATATCCCAAAAAGAGCGAAAATTTTGAAGAACACCTTTTATCTACATTTCGTGGCAAAACGTGTAGTTATGATAATATCAGCTTCCACCACTATTAGAGTTACTTTTTGTCTCATCAGTCACCAGTAGGTTACGCTTTTCACTACCTATTTGGCCCAGTGTTTATATTTAGTTAATATTTTCCTTTCCAGAATCATCACTTTTCCTTTCATTCTTTCCTCAACGATTCTGCATACCGTGTATTCTTTCAGAAATAATACAAGATTTGGACCATCTCGCGTGAATGGGTCGCGTTTTAAATGTCTGTCGGTCGAAAAACTTATGTCAGACTTGGAAACCCGTAAAGAGCTGAGCCAATAGCAGAGAAGCTGTGAAGTTTGGTGTAACTTGTCCAGTGTCACAACAACGGTGTCGTAGGTGAGACCAAGGAAGATCATTCTAGTAGAGGGAAGACAGTCCTTTGTCGGTGAGGATTCGAGACCCAGGTTGGTGTAAAGTTGTCCAAGGTGCGTGAAAGCCAGTACCGCTTCATCATAGGACGCCAGCCTCGACGCCTCGAAAGTCGTCATCATAATTTACACAATCAAAGTGAAACGATGTACGGAAGAAGTGAGCGGTAGTGTCGGTAGTGCGAGGGTCGCCGCGCGGAGGCCAAACGGAGAACAAACTCGAAATGTAATAAATCCTGCCAGCGATAACCAAGAAAGATGTAGTCCTTGGGGTCTACGTGGATTTGCCTGTATGCGCGTTTCAAGTCTTTCTTGAAAAGGTAACAGACTGGGCCCTTAACTAAGATAGGGTCTACGAAATCTGCGGAACGAAGGAGAGTAAGGTAAAGTCCGGAAGTTTGCAGTATGCACAAATATGTTCTGCACCCTGTTGTTGAGAAGAGCTGCTGCAGGAGCCGTTACGGTTCCACTCATGGTAATAATTCTGCCGCCGGTTGCTATTGTGTGTGGTGGAATGGTTTTTGTTGTGGTTGGCAATGAGAAGTTTCGTGGGAAGACGGTTTAACTCTAATATTGAAGCTTTCGATTTCGCTGAAATTGTCGCCCCAATTGGCACGTGTGGCGTGGAAGGATAAAACAGCGTGCCATTGATATTTGGACGCGAGGCGCATGAGGGACATCAGTGTTGTTGCATTAAGGCTTGTGTGGGTGGGGTTTGTGAAGTCAAAATATCCAGATATCCGTAAACAAACTCTGTGACCGAAAGATCTCTAGTTTTTTATTCCTGAGAGACCTAATGGAATGAATAAATTATTTTAATAATATTATTATTATTATCATTATTATTAATGTTATTATTGTTTATTTAAATTTAAAGTTGCTATCTGTATGTGGCTATTTTTGTTTATCATTTTTATTATCACCACTACGAGATAATACCATCACACATGGTTGAGATTGCTCCAACAGACCATCTTGTTGGAAAGGTTTGGGAGGAAAACGCTTTTGGTCAATCTCCCCATTTTGTTACGATGTTTTTCGGAAAGAACGTCACAGAAAGCAAAAAAAGGAATAAGTTCATCGACAACTGTCGATAACTGGGGCTGGATTTTCAGAGATCTAAAAGGCCACTGGTTTTTCAGAAGATACACCACAAAGTACAGCATTCGATTTTCGTTTTCCGAGACCCTCCTACTGAAAATGACAGCAGACCATCCTGGTTATTCCTGAGAGACCGAATGGACTGAATAAAAATTTTAATACTATTATTATTATTAATGTTGTTATTATTTATTTAAATTTAAAGTTGCTATCTGTATGTGGCTATTTTTATTTATCTTTTTTATTTATTTATATTTTTATTTATTTATCATTTGGAACTGTATAAGTGTGGAAGTCTGAAATATGCAAATAAGTCTTAACCTTACTCACATTTATCTTAACTTGCATTGTGATGACGTGTTCTGTGCTCTTTTACCCCAAGTGAAAGCCATTTATTGCCAAATGCAGCTACTACAGACAACCGCCTTAATGAATCCAGCCTGAGGATTCAGGTCTATAGTTAATAATTTATGTCAAATGATGAAAAACATAACATTAACTCAAACTCATTGAAGAAACGTCTTCCTGATTACCGTCAGACCTAAAATTGAACCGTCAGTAGCCTGAAGAGCAGGCGTCCTATTAGCTAGCGCGAAATAACGTTATAAGCACGCGGTCGTTTACCCGACTGGCCATGTTTAATTTGGAGTTAGAGTGGACGGTGGGGGTAGGGGGCGGGGAAAGGGCAAGAATTTAACTCCCCCACCTTACCCCTCTCCTTATCTTTGACCGTCGACCGCCCCTTGGTCCAAATTATTTCTCTCCCCAGCCTTCCGCTGCCATTAAAATCAAAGATGGCGGCCATAATTTTCGTTAAGAAAATACTGAACACTCGCTCGTCAAAATTACGCCTGCTCTGCAAGCTACAGGTTAAATATGGTCGTGAACTTGTAATAACTGGTCTTGCAGCATTGCAAGGTTTCTCTTATTTCAAAAGCCAAGGTCCACAATTATGGTAAACATCCAACTCCGCAGAATAATTAACGTATAAATTGCCTACAAAAACAGCACAAAATAGTATCATGGGTCTATCGAATTTCCGTTTGCAGAATTCGTCAAATTTAGCCGCTTGAATCCAAATCTTACTTCGCCTGCAGGAGTCAAATTCCGCTATTTTCCAGTTCGATCACTTTCCGCCTCATAGTGGCTCAATATATATTTGCATCGTGACGCAATGATCTTTGTTTACCATAGATAAAAAATCGATAACGGTTTTACGCATTCCTATTGGCTAGCTGTGCAATTTGATCATGAAATGAAAAAAAAAAACCCCAGCCGGATTTTTACCGTCTGTCATTTGCGTACGCGTGATCTCCGCATTCGAAAGGCAGCTATTTTTTAAAAATATCTACTATACGTCCTTAGTCCAAGATTTTGAGTTTACTCTATTGAGTCAAGGTCTTCATAGAGAGCAAAATGATTATTTCACCCTAGATGAAGAAATTGTCGAACAGTAACAGTATTTCCGAAGTAGAGGAAAATTGTGTGAGATACAGTCTGCCTGGTTTTTATAAGCATCAATCCGACTTATTTCCGCTGTAAGTTCAGGAACACCTTGCTTCATTCTCACAGAAACTTCGTAAAATCCTTCGTTCGGAGATGTTGTAAATTGTATCTGATATAAAGTGTCCCTGACGAGAGTGTTTTCAGTCTTTTGGCCCAACAGCGCTTCGCAGCTGTCACATTTGTCATCTGCGGCGTGCTTTGACCTTTCAAATCTTTGCATGGCTTCCTTCGGCATCTCACGAAACGCGCTCTTTATTTCCTTCAACTGCAACCGCTGACATAGTTTTGATAATTCATCGGTATGTGACGTCAGATCATTAATATGCTTTAAGACAAAAGCTGCTAGTTCTTTGACAACGGGCTCATCGAGTGACACGGCTTCCAAGTCAAGACAAGGGCAATAATGATCTGCTACACCTGTACTTGCACATGTGCGATTTGT